TTTTTCATTCATGTCTGGCGTGTATGTGGAACTGTGACATGACTAACGTTTTTTACTACTTTCCCAAACAGCCTGTGAAAGTGTCCCAAGGGTCCACCTACAGTGAGCTCCTGTCTGTCATTGAGGAGATGAGCCGTGAGATCAGGCCCACGTACGCAGGGAGCAAGAGCGCTATGGAGAGGCTAAAGAGAGGTATGTTTTAGTAGTCAAAAGTGCATGTCAGTAGGATTCAGATCATTGTTGTTGTTGTTTCGGTTTTTGGGGGGTGGGGTGAAGTTTTTTGTTTTTTTTTTAATGCATCTATTATGCAAATGGAATCAGAGGAAGACTGGTGAACTGTTCACTTCTCTTAGCTCTTTGGTGAATGTGGATTTCACACAGCTTATTCTGAAAATGCTTATTTACTAGCTGCAGTAACAGTGCTCTGTTATTATCCTTTTATATAAAGAAAATTGTCTCTGACTCCAGCTGAAGACTTAAAGCCCAATAAACACATTTATAAGAAATTTGCCAGGTAAAGCCCCCCATGACAGCTGGAAGTTATCACAGTCAGTTATCCACTAAGACACATTTGTCAAAGTGTGGGGCACAGTGAAGAATTTAGTGAAACTGAGTTGCATACATGCATTTAAAAGATAAGGTTTGTCACATGACTGTGCAGTCCTGTGAAACTATAAGTACACTCTATTATTTGGTAGCTTGTGTACATTTAGCAGCAATAACTAAAAATAAGTTCTCATTTTCTGTATGGCTGAGTTTCATATCTTCGGAGTAATGATCCCACTCTTCTTTACAAAGCTGCTTCAGTTCGTTGAAGTTTGCAGGGATTTGTTCTGTACCTCCACCACTCTGATAGTTCAAGACAGATGTTTGTGCTGATATGCTGTGTTTGATTTGTGTTGTGCTGTGCATTACCCAGAATATCTCCACTTTAGTCTTGTGTGTCCAAAATGCATCATTCCAGAAGTCTTGTGTATCCACAGTATCTACACCTCCTTTGGTCTTATTGTGGAACAGGATCAGTTGTGCTTTTTTTCCCTTCTCTGGTATTTTCATCCACCATTTTGTTGAGTCCAGATTTGTGCATCACAAACCAAGAAGATCTTTAGGCCATACTCGACGGGCTTGTTTGGATTATATTGTAAAAATCTGAACCTTCCCGTGAATGGCACAAGCGTTTGTCTACAGTGACACAATCACTGGGGATAAACTGTGTGTTAGTTCTTGTTGTGTAAAATAACCTAAGTGGTTGCACTCTTTGTGGTCCACAAAAATATATTCCTGACACTCACACTTTGTAAGAATATAGGGTAATTCCATAGGAAACAAATGCAGGAAGTTTGGGGTAAAAACACAAAAACTAGAATTTTATTAAAAGTATAAAAGGAAAGTTAAAATTTTAAATGGCATGATAGCCAAAAAGTGTTTTTGAGTTATAGCTGGAATATGAAATGACAACAATTTTTCATTAATTAGGTAGGTAAGAAAACAACATTAGCGGGTCTTCTTTGAAATACTTTTATGGGTTAAATCAACTCAGTTTTCTTGGTTAATGAGAGACCTCTAACTTGGCAGTAATGACTGTTGCGTTTGTTGTATTTGAGGTTTTTTTAAATTTCTTTATTTTTTTGTAAACTTGCCTTGTGTTTGTGTCATACAGGTATAATCCATGCCCGTGCACTGGTCAGGGAGTGTCTTGCAGAGACGGAGAGAAGCGCCCGCACATAACCTTTTGGACAAATCCCTCCACCTGGCACTGGCACTCTTTTTCCTGTGACACCTGCCCACATCGTGATCCCCATTCGATGTTTTATAACCTTTTTTTTTTTTTTTTGTTATTATAAATTAAATCCTTCCTCTTTCCACTGGCTTTTTAGAGGTGCATTATGCCCCCTTGTATCTGTTCACAGCATTTCCCCCTCGCCCGTTTTGGTAAAGACAAACTTTCTGCAACTCGTTGGGCGTACGCAAACAGAAAATTTTATATCTATTTTAAAAATGTGGGGAATTTCAGCACATTTTTAGGTCAAGTTGGGGATATCAAAGTGGATGGGAATGTTTATATTTGTTCAACAATGGGATTTGACCAAGAAAGTTGACTTTTTTTAAAGATGTCTCCACTGCACCAGTGCTCCTGTGTCGATTTTGAACATCCAGTTTTCAACCCATGAGCATTTTCTGTTATTCTGTACATCTTGAATATCCTCCTGTTCCTTTCACCCTTGTTTTGTTTTCCATATTTTGTAAACACACATCGGACGTTTCTCATTCCCAAGAACTCTGTATATCTCATGTCAGTTTGTTAGTATGGAAATTTTGTAAACCAGATTTTTGAGATTCGGTATGTATAAATAAAAATAAAAAAAAAATCACAAAATAAACTGTAAAATGCTTTTTAGGTTTTTAAGATGTTACAGTAGGTTTTATCAAACAAATGTGACTCAACATCTTTCAATGGAGTGTTTTTTGTTTTTATAAAAGTAGTTAAAATGTTTATTGACCTTGGAAATAAGTGTTTTGACAACATACTTGGCAGATTTATTTCTTTATTTTTCGGAAATTAAACTTAACGGCCTTAATCTAGAAAACATTTAAAGAGCAAGGACAGTTTGTTTTTTCACTCAAGACTTCTGATTGATAGAAAACATCCAATTTTTTTTTTTTTAATAAATCCAGCTCTATAGGCCGTATTTAACAAAACACAAAGCTGAGGATAAACACAGATTTATTTACAGTTCCACAATCACAACCTCAATAACATGTCACTGCAGGCAAGCTTGGGCTAAATGACGCACTGCTTCACATGAACAGTAGAGTAGCTCTTTCTAAGCAAGTGAATGAGATACTGTGAGTTTGCGCAGAGTACATCTTGACATAAAAATAAAGGTAGTATTTAGTACATACGTGAAATAAGTACACAGTAGAAAGCAAAGACAATGAAAGTGTTTTATAAGATTGTCGCAGAGGTTACGTTTCATGGCCCACGTATCATGTAGTCATGGTGATTCGGCTGTGACCATAATAGAAAAGGGGGTGCGAGGCAAAGATGAGATACATGATTGTCCAAAAAGAACAAGATTTTCTGATCATTTTGATCATGGTAATGGGCTCCCAAATTGCAGATGAGTTGATCATTAAAAGGAAAACGCTCCCTTTAAGAAGGTAAATGGAAAAAAACACCAACATTCCTTTACATTAATATTACAGACTGAATTAATGGCTGTGCCTTACATTACAGTCCTCTAAAAAAACTGGGTTTTCACTTTAAATTCCAGCTACAACATAAACATTTTCAAATCGAAATCTTAATTTAACATTTAGAGGACTAAAGCTGCAATGCAAGTTTTGTTTGCGCATCGACCCGTGGCTGGGTGTTTGGCTTGGATGGAATAAAAGTGAAACGCCGAGCGCACCGACTGTTTCTCTCCTCCATCTTGAAATTAACAGGCATCCTCTCGAGTCCAACTCATCGAGACTTCAACCCTGCAAGAAGGAAAGAGTATAACACGCTTCATTAAAACACAATACGACTTACTTACAAAACAAGCTCCTCACTTGCGGGCCTGTGAATATGATCAGTGCAATTAGGAAAAACTCAAACTGCACTGACTGTAGTGGCAGTAGCTGGTGGCGTGTTGTAGTTGAACAGGTCCTTGTAGCGACCCTTTTCCTCCTTCTGTTTGGAGCGGATCCTCTCCTCCATGGTTTTCAGCTCCTTGGCCACAGACGGCCCCAGAGAAGGATCCAGTTCCAAGAGCTTCGCGAAGTCGGCTCGCGCCTCCGTCTCGTTCCACACGGCAGCGTGGGCTTTAGCGCGCTTGTAAAGGGCCTTTACGTTGTCTGTTAGGAGGAGGAGGAAGAACAGCTATTCAAACTACAACATTGGTGACACAGGGCAGGGATAGCTCAGTAGGTAAAGTGGTTGCCCATGATTGGAAGGTCAGGGGTTCGAATTCACTGAACGGCTACCCTGAGGTAACCCTGAGCAAGGTACTGTAGCCACCCACTGCTCCTCGGGCGCTGCACTGGTGGCTGCCCACTGCTTCACTGGATGAATGGGTTAAATGCAGAGGAGTAATTTCTCTACAGGGACTAACACATACACATCATTATTAGATAGGAGCTCAACTGGCTTGTTACCCATCACAATTTGCAAATTATTGTAATGTGTGACATGCAGAAAGAACGTTTTTTCTAAACCTAACAAGAATTTAAATCCACTGAGAAGTCGAGGAGGCCCGAAAACACTCGTTTTATTAAAATCTGACTACCACAGTAGCAGGAGGAGCAATTCTTGTGCCTTGCCATCACATCAATCCTTCGGACGGATGAGCTAACGAGAATAGCAGCGTCCAATAATATTAATGACAGTGAGACGCTTTTCCATGCCATAATAACCCTGAACAACTGCACAGTTCACTTGTATGGCATGAGATGTAGTTTAGTGTTTGTATGTGCAGAGGGCAATTGTGAAGCAATCAGCTGTCACAAGTAAAATAACCTACATATAATGATTTATTTTATTATGCTGAGCACCCTTATGTTGGTGATAAAACTCCCAAATGGTAAAGAATAAATGCCAAAAATAGTAACAGTATTTTACCATTTTAATATAGAAATGAAAAAAAAAACAAGACTAATACGACAACCACAACTGATACGATCAGTCAGGTTCAGGCTGGTTTCTGCGTCTGTTCAACTTTCTGTGTAATACCCCGGAGTGGATCGGAGGACATGGGCATGACATCGATGCGTGGTTGCATCTGTGGCCACGAGGTGGAACCAGGTGATCCACTGACCCAGCTCCAGACCTAAGCCAGGAGGTGCGACTTATCTTTGACGATGAGGCTAGTAGTTGTGGCGGTGTCAGAGTCAAGCGTAAGAGGTAAATAATTGAAGTTATGCAATCTGCGACAACTTTGACAAAACTGACTCTAACAGAGTCACATTTGTTTAAAAAAAAAAAAAAAAAAAAAAAGATTAAAAGATGTATTTTACCAAGTTTCTTAGCAACGATGATGTGCCACAGAAAGGCAAAAGGGAGAAAGCAACTAATACTGTATTAAGCAAGACGCTACAGGGCTCTTGAGTGCGACCAATTTGGTCGCAAATGCGACCAAATTTTTCAGTGGTGCGACTAAAAAAAAAAAAATTTGGTTGCACCTGTGCCACCAACTGTTCAGGTAGCAAAAATAAAAAATAAAAAAAATCTGCAACCTTCCCTGTGGTCAACAACAGACACACATTTTGCCCCTATCGTGGACTAAACCAATCAGAGATAGTAAGGGGCAGGACCTCTCTGATTGGCCGTGGTCCAGTTGAAAGTGCAGGTGGAAGTGGGAGGTGAGTAGCTTGAATAAAGCGATATCAATTCATTAAATCCTGAATCAGCTTTTAAATATAACTATGTTTTGCCAGAAACGCCAGATTCTCAATCTCTGTTTTCTGTATTATTCATTCGCTTATTACCCACCAGTCTACCGTTGTTTACAGCGCTGTGGCTGCTGTCTTTTTCTTTTCTTTTTTTCCACTTAAATGACCTCGGACAAGAAAGCCTGTTTTTTCTGTTGTTCAATACTGAAGAAATTTAAACTTTATATGCAGAACATTGTAGGATATTTTTAAGGGTATCTGCTATAAAAAGCCAGACCAGGAAAATCTCCTTCATGTTTTTCTGTGTTTTATTCTCAGTTACTTTCACACAAAGGCATCTGCTGTGATGTTCACAATTCTGATGAAGTCAGTACTGATAAATGATCAGAATTATAATATTTCTGACTGTCTGAGGCTAAGTTGAATCGAATCGGGACTTTGAAAACCGGAATCGAATGGATTATAGAAATCAGTGATGATACCCAGCCCTAGTGAGCAGCCTAGGCACGACAGAAGTGGATGTAGCTGTAATAGGAAAAGAACTATTGCTAACTTTTCTGTTAAGTTAAGGCCTGATCCTTCTGAAATTCATAGACAGTGCTCTGACACGGTGTCTTTGAATGCTGAAAAAGCACAGTGTATCCAGAAAAACACATTATATTATATCAATTATTATAAAATTTGTGTACGCCTAACTTTTTAAAGTTAGGCGTACCGGTACGCCCATGGCAAAAAGTTAGTCTAGAGCCCTGCGCTAACATTTAAGTGGTGTCATCTGTCAGCAGTGAAATTGGTGCAAACTAACTAAATTTGAGTCAGGCAGCCTTACTCTCGTATTTGAAGAGAAGGGACGAGCAGTGTTCGATGACCTCGTAATACTGGCCCTCGAGCAAGAGGCACTGACAGTAGTTGAGAAGCAGTGTTGTGATCATCTGGTCCAACTTTAACCAACTTTCATCTCCAGGTTGCTCCTGAATAAAAGATTTCACAAAGTATTCACAAAATGACAAGAGACACACATCTTAATTCCACTTGAAAACATATTCAAGGAAGGAAATGTATGACAGCAATGTATCCATGGTTATCAGTGCACAAAATGCATGACTGTCCCCCAACCTTGATCTGTAGGTTTTTAAGGCAGGCGATACCATTGTAGTATTTGTCTCTGGCCTCACTGATGTGGCCCTCTTTGAAGAGCTTGTTGCCCTCCTCGTGGATCTGAGGCACAAAACTGAGTTTCTCTTCATCCGTCATGGCCCACACATCCAGCTGGAATGACCCAGGAGGAAGAACCTGGGCAGGCAGAGAGACACATGAAGTATATTTAGTATATTTGATGCACCTATTAATGGAATATAATGAGTGTATTTACTGAGGAAGAAATTTGAAAAAAATATATTTTTCACTAGTATTTTCTTTCCTTTTTCATGATCCCATGAAAAGCTTGAAAATATTTCATCATATAGATTAAACATCTTTACAGTTAATACAAAGTTAATACAGGCTGAAACAACTATTTGATTTATAGCTAATTAACTGAAAATTATTCTAATAATCATTTTTCATATAAAAATAACACATTTTTACAGTACCAGCTTTTGACAAGTGAGATTCTGCTGCCTTTTAGCTCATTTAGTCATTGATCTACTTAATGGATAATGTAATGATAATAAAATAATAATATTATCCTTCACATTTAAAAATCTGACAAATCAAACATGCAGAGCTACCTGCTGTGGTGACGTTTTGTGAATAAAAAAAAAGCTCTATTAAGTTTGGACTACTGGTAAGATCAAACAAGCATAATTAAGGTGTCACTTTGGACTAACAGCACAATCTTTAATGGCCTAATCAATAAAGAAAATACAAAAATATATATGTACAAAAACTCAAGTACTGTGTTGGTGCTATTACTGGAACCCAACCCAGCACCACCATTGATGTTGCTCTCCTTCCTGCTCACCTCCAGCAGCTCGATAGTAAAGACAAGTGGCTGTGGATTGGCTTGGAGATGATCCAGGTCCTTGTGGCCCAGAGAGTGGTGCGAGTGGATCTGGGCAATGCCACAACAGTGCCTCTGGCCTTCCAGAGGGTCCTTACCAACACTGATGTTTCTTAAGGACTGGGACACAAGCGGATAAAGTGCTGTGTGCTGAGGAATGAGACGGAGATACAATCAGCCCTGAGGAAGAATGAACTGTTTAACCAATCAATTCCAGTATCACCAGCTTACCAACCTTGGTGTCACAGGTAAATTCTGCAACTTCTCCTTCTCTCATAGTGATGACCAGTCTTTCCCACACAGCCAATTTAAACTTTTTGCCCAGGATGAGCTCCATGGGTTTACTGCGGCCCCCCATGGTTCTGGAGTCATCCAGCACGGTGCCCTCACACAGGCTGGTGCGGTAGTGAAAGACCACCTGATCATAAAAAGGGAAATGGTGTTATTACCTAAAAGAAGGAAGAATTAGCACCCCCAAATGACATATCTGTAAAGGTCTGCGTTGTATCACACTGTGACCAATCACAAAAATGAAAAATTGACTGACGTGAGAGCTCGACGAATCAGAATTCACAAACACAGGCCGCCCTGTTCCCGCCCCTATCTTTCCATCAGATGAAACAGAGGGGGGGGGAAACGAACCAGGCCTAAAACGATCCTAACCCCGTCTACTACTGTATCACCATAAATCGACAAAACACTCTAGCTTGTCGGTGATGTGTGTACACAGAAGCGTCCGATACAGCAAAAACTCGGACTGACTCGAGTCCAAAGTGTTAGCAAAGGTATAAACGCCGATAGCATTAGCTAACGTACCTCGTCGCGTTACTCAGACTAAAGCCTGGATTGAACCCGATCAGTCGCTGGGGCCGGAGGTCTTACCTTAGTTCCATTGGGAAAGGTCGACAAGTCTCCTTTACCGGGACTGGTTAATTTCTTTTTAATTCCCTCCGCGAGAAGCTTGCGAGCCTCTTCCTCCATCCTCGGTCGACTCTCAGTTCACGAGATATCACGATCTTTCGCGAGTGCTGTCGTTTCGTAAGACGTCATTAGGGGCGTCATCTAGCGCGAGCTTTTCGTTTTAAAAGAAAAACAGCTGTAATGGTTTACAATTGTAGATGCTCAGAAACAAACACGCAAAATAACGAAATAAATAGATTAATAAGATTATTATTTAGCTACGCTTTCATTACATTGATATTACCTCCTGGTAAGAACAGTCCCGATGTCGCCAGATGATGGCGCTCTCGAATATAGGAATAATGCAACGTATTTGTTTTAATTACAAACACACACAAAACGTTTCATATGTTTTTACTTTTTATGAGTTCTCTATGTACATTACTGTGCAAAAGTCTTGAGCCACCCCCTCACCTTTTTATATTTTCCTTCCGAGGAGAGAGACTTAATTGTGTCTTGCAGGTCTTTCAGAGATTTTCTTTAGACATTGGCTGCTTTTTTTTTTTTTTAAAGTTTTTTACTCATTTTCAGTCCAGACCTTGTACCTTACAATTTTTAGAGGAATGTTTGTTTGTTTGTTAAGTAACTTAACACTGACCCACAAATCATTCAAGCACAAAACAAATCCAGTGAAGACTTGACACAGGACCTGAGAGATTCTTAATTGATCCATCTACTGTTGACTGAAGACTCATCAGAAACTGTCTAACTGGAAGGGTGGCTGTCAGGAAGCCATTCTGAAGGAAGGAGACCAGAGAGAAAAGGCTGAGGTACAGCCATCTGTAAAACACAGCGAAGCCTCTGTCGTGGTCGGTGCATTTCAGCCAGTGATGTTGAAGATCGTGCCACATTTGATGGGAATATGAACACAGAAAAGTGCCATCAGATTTTGACCCACCATGCAATATAATCTGGAAAGCATCTGATGGGCAACAGCTTCATTTTTCAGCATGACAGTTATCTCAAACACACTGCCAGCAGCATACACACCATGCTTATCTGTTATTTCTCCTCCTCTGTGTGGATGTGAAAGTCTGCAACCCATTGATTTCCCACACTCTACCTGCTAGCCTCCAGCAGATGGACTTCATCATTTTTGTGAATTACCACTATTTTTTCTCATCATAATGGTCCAAACATTGTAGCTTCATACAGAGTGATCATCAGTGCAGATCACCAAAAACCCTGTTATTTTTAAGAAAGTGCTACCTTACTCCTGGCTCAGCAGTTTTCTGACCAGTATGACAGGAAAGCAGCAGAACCCAAGTGTCCTTCATTGGGTTTGTTATTATTGCTGTTATTTCTTTTTAAAACTGGGATCACTGGAGATTTAGATATTTAGAATAATCTATTGTCAATGTAAATGGAAATAGTTTCTGTTTATTGGGTCCAATTGCTCTTTTTAAGAGTCAATTAAATCAACCCTGAACATTCAAGTGCTTGTTTAGCTTACTTTCATAGATGCACACTCTACAGAAAGCCTGCTGGTTTGTCATACTCATAACTGGTCTGATCAGGCTTGAAGTACCAAACCAGTGGCAGTATATGTAGCACAGTGCTGCAATTCAATTCATTATAATAGATATACTGTGATTCTAGCCATAAACCCATCTGTCCTAGAGTAACACCCTATTAGAAACACCACATTCACTAAGTTATAAGCATCCAGAGTAATGTTTGAAATGTTGGAGACTCATACATCTTATGCATTTTTACTAGATGTGTAGACTTTATATTTTTATATTGTTTTAAGGTTAAATGAATAAAAGAAAGTTCAGGTTTATCAGTTTGCTTTAAAACGGGGCGACTGTGGCTCAGGGGGTTGGGAATCGCATCTGTAACCTGAAGGTTGCCGGTTCGATGCCTGGGCTCTCTGTCCTGGTCGTTGTGTCCTTGGGCAAGACACTTTACCCTACTTGTCTACTGGTGTTGGCCAGAGGGGCCGATGGTGCGATATGGCAGCCTTGCTTCTGTCAGTCTGCCCCAGGGCAGCTGTGGCTACAACTGTAGCTGCCTCCACCAGTGTATGAATGTGAGAGTGAATGAATAGTGGTATTGTAAAGCGCTTTGGGTGCCTTGAAAAGCGTTATATAAATGCAATCCATTATTATTAAAAATGTACAAGGATCAAATCAGGTGTCATGTCTTATGTGTGTCTTATCTGATCTGGCCACTTTTTGAATTATGGCAAATGTGAGCTCTGAAAACTTGTTCTAGCTCTTTTCTATAGTACTGATTCTCTCTTCATCTTCACCTCTCCACTACCTCTGTTTTTTAATGTGCATGCCACATGCCTCATCTTCTCTATTCTCACCTGCTCTGTGCTGTTGTCACTTCTGCTCATTAAAAAAAGATGTGATCAGCATATGCTCCTCTAAATCTTACCAAATTTCCTTTTATTGTCCTATCAATTAATACTCTAATTAATATGATGTTAATTTATGTGAAAAACAAATTAATGCACTTTGGAATTTTTTGTAGATTTAACAGAGGGAATGGCATCAAATCACGTGTGTTAATCACAGGCTTAAAATTGGTTCTTTGCTTAGTTGTCTGTTACAGGTAGACCTGACACTGACTGATTTAGGTGCCTTTTTATGCTTGAAGGATTCATAGGTCAGTATTTTAAATAAAAATCTATAAAAATGGTTAGATACAAGGACTGGTCTACTGCTCAAGACCAATGTCTCTAAGCACATTTTAAATTTAAGCTGAATGATGAGATTCCTCCAGGGCAGTAAGTCCAGAAATGGTATCTACTGTTTGTTTGTTTTTTTACTGATTTAAGATTTAATTAACTTATTTTGTGGTGCATTTTGTAATATTTGCCAGCATAAAAGTATAATGAAAATAACCTTTTTGTTATATTTGTGACTAAAAATTTTATGTTAAAGTATTCTACATGTTTCATTTTACATTACTGTGGAATATAACCATATACCATTCAGAAATTATCACTAATTGACTTTTGCAATGTGAAGTTTATTAGTTTTTTTCAAATATGGGACTTTTTTATATTTTAAGGCAATAGACATTTTTTGATGTATCCCGGTTCAGATCAAATTTCAGGCTTTTATCCTTAATAGCTTTTTCAGACATGTTCAAACATGGCCTCAAAATCTGAAAAAGAAACATGCTGGAAGTAGGTCAATGGACCATTTAAAAAGAAAGTATTACATTTAAATTTAAAGTAAATTTAACAGCAATTATTACATATATCCAAACTTTGGACCATGAAATTGTATATAACAAATATATATGTATATACTGTATATATGTATATATGTGTGTGTGTGTGTTTTTGTGCAATCCTAATGCTTCTGTTAAATAGATTTGATCCATCAGCCTTTAAAAGCAGACCCAAAGCTACTTCTCAATTAGCCTTACAAATTGAATAAGTGCGTAATACCTTTCAGAACAGTGGATGAATGGAGTGAGTCATAGACAAACATGTTCTTAGAACCAAGAAATAGCAGAAGGTCAAAAATAGATTTCTCTGAAAAATGCACTCAATAACAGATGCAGAGGTAAATGCCTGATTTTGAACTATATAACAGCTACATTTTAAATATACTGTGAAATATATCATGATTTAAATGAATGGCTTCTTATTAAAACCAACTGACACAAATTAAAATATACAACATTTTATTGTAATTTCACAGTCATCTTTCACTTAAAACAGAATACACAGGCGAGACGGTGGTCTTTTTGGTATACACATACAGTAATGTCAGTTCATGGAGTGGAAATATAGCGAAGGCGCTGAGTGGTAAAAGTAGGAGTGGTCAATATGTCAAACAAACCAAAAAACAGGTCAATATATCTTATGAGTGTCAAAATACCATTAATTGTATCATAGTTGAAAGAAATGTACTGAACATGTCTGGTCACATGAAATTTCATTTTTCAAAATAAGGTAGGTAGAACAGTTTGAAGCCTCTTCTACCACGGACTGCACAGCTGATGTAAATCACATGGTACACTGCGGGCGAACACACAGAATGGCAATATTAGCATTCATCAAAACAAAGCTTTGCACATAAAAAGACAAGTAAAAGGTTTAAGAGATAAAATGAACAAAATTACCTCCAGGGATAAACAGAAGAAATCCAGGAATGAAGAAAATAGCACTTGAAATACCTGTGGGGACAGTTTTATTAGCTACAGTCAAGAGAAAACACACACAACGCTTTGAGTTCTTAATTAGATTAAGAAAGTACTACATAACTACCGGTCCATTTAACATTTACATGCTCTGAAACAGCTAGAAATGCTAAGTTAAATGAGAGGATTGATGAAGTTTGCCTGTACAGTAAATCTGAAGCTACAGCTGCATAAATATTGAAAATGACAAACTACTCTTTTGGCAAGATTAACACGTTGTTGTTGGAAATCAATGCTTAGTTTTCTAACAACATTAATAAAAGGTGTGAACAAGGAGGTGAAAAAATATCTTATGATTTTAAATTATGTGGCTGAAAGGAAGGCGTAAAAATGGAGAAATAGACACCAGAAACAGCCAAACTGCAAATTCCTAATATACAACCATCAATATCGATGGTACTTTCAGTTTAGTTAGGCAAAATTTAAGTGGTGGTATCAAAGATCTCAGCTGTAGCTCAATCTGTGATATTTGCCAGCTGCCTGTGGGAACAGCAAACCACATTTATAACTACAGCTCACAGAATTTTGTTGTAATTTTCATAAACAAACCAGGAAATAATTGGCCTCTTTCCTTCACTATGTGATCTCATTTTATGTTGCACATGAAAGGAGTCTGAACAGTGTAAAACACTTGAAAAAAGGAAATGGTCACAGAAAAAATAGTCCATACTTTACAACATTTTAAAGTACATGTCTAAAGGCCCCTATACTTAGATGGAATTTTATTGGATTGAATTTAAAACGACACTGTAATTAGATTTACCCACAAATACTTAAAGGTAGTTACACAAGAATAAGGGGGTAACGAGTCAGTTTTTCACACGAATTATACTGCAAGTAAATGTAAGTAGTGTGTAAGTAATTTTAAGTAAGTAAGCAATTTAGTGGGAAAACAAACAGACAAGCTTGAGCCATATTATGCAGCGGCTTGAGCTTGCCTAACTTGTTTTTCTACAAAATTACTCATTTAAAATTACTCATGCAGTACTTAAAAACATATTTACACCCTACTTAAATTTACTTGCAGAGTATAATTTTGCTTTGTTTCCTGTAAAAATCTGGCTTGTTACCTTTAAGTATATAATTATATTGTAATTTCAAATTAAATACATTGAATTCCTTTTAGTTACAGGGTAAATACTCTCTTTGTGATTATAAAGTGTTACTAAATAATGCAATACTTGAGCCGTATGCACAATCACTATTATGCTAGTTCATTTGGAGGCAGATGGTGACTTAGCAGATGTACATTTTAAAGAAAATCTTAAAGGGGTGAGTAGAATAATTCATCAACTAATGTATGACAAAATAGCACAGAAGTTGATGCAGATGTGATTAATAATGTGTCGCTAACTTTCAAAATTCTCTACTTAAAAAAAAGGGGGTAAGAGAGCTCCCCCCACCCACCCACAATTCTTGTGGTGATGATGCTCAAGAAAAGGCTTGGGAGCAGTGATAAGAGCATGAATTGCTCTGAACAGGACTCGGGGTTATGGAAGTATGCCCAGTCAACTTTAGATAACGAAAGTTCTTAAGCAGATTTTACAGCTTAATTGCAGAGATGCACCTGCTCCTGTAGCTGCTTATGAAAGGCAAATTGATCTAATCTCATCTATTTTGACTCTGGTGACATTTTCTTAATATGTTGTGGGTGAGCTCATCCCAAAGAGCACATTAATTGCTTGATTTCTGCCTCAAGCTGGAGAGGAGACACTCTATACAAAAAAGGCAGACACGACTAATTTAAAGTGCCTAACTCGCGGTGAGCATTTGAAGCTGATATTCGTGGAATGTGTAGACCAATTTAATGGGAGGTGCTGATTTTTGTAAAGGGGAAAAGCAAGGCTCATTTGATCTGAAAAGACTTTTTAAAACTTGCCTGACAGACTTTAATTCATTATGAATCCTGGTTGTACAGCCAAAGAAATTCTGAATAACAGTTCTGAACATATAGATACTTGATAAAATGCGCAGGGTTTGGACAGAAATACAAGATGAGAAGTATTGAACACTCAGCTTTTTAGAGGTTTGGAGGCAGAAAAAACAAAAGGGACACTACTAATCAAAGACAAGGCAAGAGAGGTTCAAGATAGCTAAACATGTGACACACAGAGCCACTACCGGGCCCAGCAGACCTCTGCACTATATGGAATGTGAAGTGTGATCTCATTCAATACAAACTTATCGCAAGCATGCAGTCAGAGCATTGCACTAGGGCTGCACAATTAACCAAATTTGAAACTCAATCACAAACATGATTGACCAGTGCTGCAAATGCTTGTTCTGTCAATTGAGTACAAAGCAAAAGTAAATCAAGCGCCCCTTAAATCAGTGCCTCATCACGTGCCTGCATAAATAACGAAATTCAAATGTCTGGTAAGGCAGAAGGTGAAGAGCTTGCTCCTTGAAGCAGATCCTCATCTGCTGTTTGGTAATACTTCAGATTTAGCACAAGAGATATTAACCAAGAATACTTCATACGCAAGGAGTTTGCACTGCAAGGCAACACGAACTAAGTTATTCAACCACCTGCAAACACACCACAAGAGTATATGAATAGATGAAGGCCAAGAAAAACAATGCAATGTTTGCTAACATGAATCATCCAATGTTAGCTCATGTCCATAAAAGCAAGGGTGGATACGACACATCACAGTATCCACCCAGCTCACAAAGACATACTGAAATCACCAACCAATTGAATTCCATTTGGCCAAAGATAGAAACACAGTGAGTAATGGAGGGTTCAGAAAAAATGGTCAACTTACTGGAAAAAAGATATTTTATTTCCACAAGATTTTTCCAATGTGGCAAAGCCTGTCCTGTCTGCAAAACATTGCAGGTATAATGTGGAGGGATACACAGCTGTGGACGACTATGAACTTTATTCACACCCATACTACACTTACAATGATCTAACTAAAGATTTCCCTGACAGTAAGAAACAGTGATTCTTGTATAGGTTTGTTGCTACATTACAAACATTCTGCTGACAACATTGTGTGTAGTAACAATGCGTAAGCTTGAAGAAGTTATTTTAGAGGACAAGTGGAAGTTTTTGGTGTTCTAGGTGAACTTGTGATCACCGTCTACAGCCTAAACCTTAAGCCGTCTGTCATTTCCAAGTGCAAATGCTCCTTCGGTTCCCAGAAACTGAGGGACTTTTCAGCTGAATTTAAATTATCAGGGTGGCTGTTCCCCCAGGTGTAACCATAAAGTAAAACCTCCAGGCATCCAAGAAAAAGAGGATTTAAAGAGGTTCAGTGGAGTTTGAGGTTAGCGGGAAGTCGGCCAACTAGTTGCTACAAAGATTATGCACCATGTTATCATTTATTTACAAAACCCCCCAAAAATGTTCAGATGCTGAAGATGCTGAGCGAGGGTTAAATTGTTCTCAACAAAAGCAGATGCTGACTGAGACAAATACCATCATGGCAAGTCTGAGATGACCCCTATGCACTAAGGTCAGTCAGCATGAAATATTTGCACTTTTCACTTTCAAGTGTAGGACAGTTATCTACCATGGATATAATAAAGCCACCGGTTGCTAGGGAAACATGTGTTTTCTGACTGGTTGGTAGTGGTTGTTGGAGGAGATTGAAAACCTCAGAGCGACTACTTTGGCTGGATTATCACCTTAATTGTCATAAGGCGGTACAAAAAACAAAGAAACAAGCAAAAAAGGCCCACTGTACATGATTCTTGTTATGATTCTGTCACTCCAGTCGTAAAAGCAGACAGACTGTGAGATCTGGACTAAGAACTATACTGTCCTGTAGCAGGCAAGGACTATGGCAGCTTTCTGTGTGTTCTTTTGTGTGTCAAGATAACACAGAGATCCTCCCACTTGTGGAAGAGCACACCAGCACTAATGGACTCTAATAAAAACATTCCATTCTGAATTATACTATTTAATCCACTATATAAGTCCTGCATTCATTCATGTTTGGTCTGTTTATGATTTGATAGAAGTTGAGAAGTGACGCGCTTCTTTGTGTATGCTTGCATTTGGACTAACATGCATTTCTAAAAAAACAACAACAACAGTCTAAATGCTTTGCATGTCAATATTTTATCTTCCTTACCTGCACTTGGATTGAGCTGTATGCCAATACCTGTGAAAATAAGAGCTAAAACAAAAACAGCACAAACATTATAGGTTTGAAAGGTTGTGTTTTTATTAGTTTGGTTATTCCGGCAATAACTCTGTCATAATCTGTTGATCAGTGCAGGGGGACAAAGTTCACTGTGCAAAGTGCCAAGACTATCATTGCCTGACACAACACGGAACAAACTACCTGGTGTAGCATTGCAAAACTATTTGGAGTGGTGCCTTTGTGTTAATGTTAGAGCGTCATTTTGAAGTGAACTTAGAATCAGAAAGAAGAGGTGTGTTTGTCCTTTTCGACTGCAGTCATTTAACTGGAGATTAGCAATTCTTTTGAGTTTAAAACCAAAATTAAATTAAAATCACTAAACCATCTACAGTGGGAGCAGGCAGCCCGTGTTACTGTGATGCTCCCACAGCCAAAATGAATCAGGTAAACATGTGAAAAACAAGTTTCTCTCAGTAAATTGTTCTGGTTTGTGTGTTTCATACGTAATAAGTAACAAAAACATGTACTTACCAACTCCAGTGATGAGGAGAAGGAATGAAGAGAGAACAACCCTTCTGTTTTTCTTCACCAGCGGATGGGACACCCACCTAGGCGAAACGTGTTTTTAAAGTAACCGTGTTTGTTATGCTTCTCCGTGAGAGAAGACCGAACTTACCCGCAGCAGTGCGCAGAAAGCTGCGTGACTGAACTCAAGGTGCTGAAGGACCACTGAGAGCTGCAGTAAGACAGCGTTGCAGGGTCACTGTGGAGAAAGCAGAAACACGCTTCATCTCACATTCACAGAAGAAGCAGGGAAAAGAAAAATCACGCCTGAACTACAGAGCCCACCTGATTTTGAAGAAGTTATTGAAAGAGGAATTCCCATTGTTGCCCAAGGCGTCTTCATTTTCCAGATTCTAAAACAAGAGGAGATGGTGGATGTCATATAAACGGCAAAGAAAAATGTATAGCTCGCAGAGAGGAAGCAAAAGTAATACTGTTATTATAGTCGCTGTTTTTTTTTTCCTATTTCTTAAGGACATGACTTTCAGATATGTTCATCTGCTGTAGAAATTTATTAGACCTCCCACTTCTTCTTTTGTCCACACATGCCCAGTTTGTCCAGTTTTATTTTTGAGGACACACTGCACATCATGCTAGGAATCTTCTTGTTGGTGCCAAATGTTTATTTCATTGTGTTAAACTGTGTTATCTCTGGCATTGCTCATATATTCGCCAGAGGAAATGGGAACAAATTATGTGTTTGTGTGACAGGCTGCTAGGAATGAAGTGCCAGGAAATATCATTTAAAACTGGTTCTTTGCTAAGTTGTCTGTTAAGTGTAGACACAGTACAGGCTCATGCCTGGAGTTAGATACTGCTTTTATCCTTGAATGATTCAGGCAGGCAGTGTAAAGTGGAGAAAAAAAAACTGGAGAACTAATACCTAACACCACTTTGCTGCTTGTAAGCAAAATAAATAGAAATGAAGGGCAGCTCAAGACTTTTGAACAGTAATCTACAAGAGTCACTGGCCTTCACAAATATGTTGTGACACGTTTAAAATAGTTTTTTTCACACGGTTAACAGCCCAGCTCCATCACATCTTACAGATTCCATTTTACCAGAACTTACTGTATCTATGTGTGTTTCCATAAATCCCTCCTTGACTTTCATAACTTGAACAGCCAAACTTGGCACACAAGCCCAACTTAGGCATCTGCCAATTGTTTTTTATATCACATATTATGATTTTATTATGTTGCCTAGCTACCGCCAGTCACAAAATGACCAGTTTTAACTTTTATGCTCCTATAACACATTGTAAAAACATCCTATTGTTTTAATTTCATTGCAATAATGTCTCATTCACATCCACAAAAGTTTAATTATGCATTCAGTATTAGGAAGGATGAGGGTGCCTAGCAACCACCTAGCAACAGGCTAAAATGAGCAGCTTTTACTGTATAAACAATATCTACCACCACTACTTTTCTTAAACTTTTCTCAGTGTTGGTAACTATATCTGTTTGCAGCAGAACAGCACAAAGAGATCACAGATAATTGGTGTGTACAAGTTGTGCTAATACAGCACTGTGCTGTCAGTGTCAGTCTTTGTGGCTCCTACAGTTCTCCAGAGTATAATGGGAGGCAGAGCCTTGAGCTACTAGACACATCTTTTGTGGAAATAGCTCCCAGTTTAGGCTGTGGACAGACACCCTCTCTCTTCCTTTCTTTAAGGTTGAAATATTTCCTTTTTTGAAGATTACAGTCAGAGCTAGATGAGGTAATGCAAATTTTTTTTTAAAAAAATGCTGCTTTATGTTCAAGCTGCTAGCAGAAGCTCTCGTGAAGCCTGCTCTTTCACTCCACATAGATTCAAATCATCTCATTGTTACACGTCATTAAAATTGTGTGCTCCCAAGGTTTATTTCTTTTCTTCTTTATTCTTTGCCATCTTTTCATGCTCTTGTTTTCTTTCTTCTTTTGTTTCATTTCACTGGCTGCTGCCGATTGCTGCCCACCTTAAGCCTGGATCTTCTCTTTCAGTCCTAAAAATGATAAGTTAGCTGTCTTCCTTGCTCACAGGGACTTGCTGAATTCTTGAGTTTGTAGCTACGAATTCGTAGTGTTGTTATAAAAACACTACAAGCTAAAACTGATACCAATCAAAAAGGAATTAGACAGCCTCTCACTGGAAATGTAACAGCAACATGAAAACAGAAATGCAAACAATGTTTTGTATCTCTTGTGTGCATGCTACCTGATACTTGAGGTTAGTGGGTTCAGGGGAGGCGGCAGCAGCAGGTGAGGGATGATTCTGAGGTTTGGAGAAACTCAAAGGGCCAAATGTCATCTCTCCTCCTTCTCTGTCCTTCCATCCCTGCGGCTCTCCGTCAGTCACAACCCCCTCCTCATCTCCCTCCAGCACAAACGCATCGTCGATGGTAAACTGTGTTGCCATGGTGATTCCCTCTTACACCCTGAGGTCCTGTAGCCGGATGCTCACTGTGATTTAAGAGTAATAACGAATGTTTTATGGATTTTTAATCCCTCAAACCGCAGGAAACAGCCTGTGAAAATACTAACTCAGCAGCTGCTGAGTTTTCTCTCACCAATCACAGCATTTCCCTTTAAACGTTTAAAGTTCGCTCATACATGCTACACTACATAAAAACTACATAAAGTAACTCCACCACTTTCGAATTAGTTTAAAAGGCGAAAACAGCTGCCGTGCTGCCTACACGTAACAGCGGATGGGATCGAGGCTAAGTACAACAGAGCAGAGGCTACACGGCTTTCCTGTAGGTCTCTGCCATTGTTTGTCCTCATTCTTCTGTCCGATCAGATGACCAGGAGGAAAACTTACTGTCTTAAGTAAATCCTTTCTCCTGCGAAGAAACTTCGACTTCTGAACTTTGTTCGGAGACGAGTCACATTTTTGTAAGCCCTGGAAAAAGTGGTTTTAAAGCCTTCTGTTAGCAGTATCTTAGTTTTTCTTCTGTAGTGCGACTTCTTTAGAAGTTTGGACTCTCTTCTTTTTTTTGGCAACCGGCAATCGATTAGATACGACTGATTACGCCCAAAGCGCTCTCTTCGCGTGCGAGCCAGGGCGCCGAATCGAGTGTCGTTTTATCGATCGATCCGCTAACTTTTGTTATGAAGGAGAAAAAACTCAAGAAACTGGGTCAATCATTACAATTTATGAAATTCCTACGAAAAAATAGATGGCAAAGCATTACATAAGTCACTCGGAATTTCTCTACAGTAAGTGGAAATTTTTTAGTTTAAAGCATGACATTGTGAGATTCAAAATAATTCAATAATTCAAAAAGGCGTTCACTGTGTGCGTGTGTGTATGCTGAATAATATAAGATAGCTAAAACAGATTAACGAATAAGTTAGGATAAATGATAAATACGATAAAATGAATAGGAAGAAACTGAAAAGAAATGAACAAACGTAAGTCACACAGCTGTCACATGATGTGTGTGCAGCTTTTTGTTGCAAGTTAGAGATATGTTATATAATTTAATACAATGCATCTCGTTAAAGATGGTCACGTTTGGTTCTCACTAACTTCAGGGATAGTATAGAACTAGCAAAGCTGTATTTTATTCGACGCAGTTTGTCAGTCTTCTTTCATAATTTTGATCAAGTGTAAAAACACAGTAAATATAAAAAAAAAGATTAATTTTATTAAAAGCACGAATCAATTCAAAAACATCTTGACCTGGGTTGTTTAGGGCAAAACCTATCAGAATATCAACAAAAGTGTATGTTTGCATATTCGTGTTCATGGACTGTGGTCATCTAATGGAGGAAAGGCATCCTGTACCCACAAGCCAGTAATATATTACCAAGGCTAAATAGTGTCAATTAAAGAGCTGGAATATATTTTGTGCGTTTTTATCTTTTGCTTTTAATCAAACAGCATTCCAGCTTTTCATTTACTGGAGTTTTAGTGTATTTTGTTTTAACATATTCAATATTCATTAGCAGTGCACTTAAGAACTGATAACAACAAATCAGCTAAATTAATGTATTCTCCATTTGGATATAAACACACATATAGATTTACTGGATCTTTGTATTTACATGCATAATAAATTTGGTAAAGCTGCCTCTTCTCCCATAACTAGAATGATTTTTTTAAAGGCTCTAAGGAAGTATTTATTTTTATATATAACTTGCTTTGAAATGTCTCCAGTTATGGGTATGCTGATGAAGAGGAAAACCAGTTGAGATAGTCGACACACTACAGTGAAAAATTAATATTTCACAGGACTTGATGCTGTCCAACGCATTCAGGTGTGTGTTAATGCAATGCCATATTCCCTCAAGTATTAGTCATCTCAGCAAATCACCTAAGGCCAAACTGTGTGATGCTCAGAGAAACTGCAAAATACTGCACGTCTTAGTTCATAAAAATACAATAAGACAAAGACTCAACAACAAAGGTTTGCCAGGAGAAAGCCTCTTTTCTCTAAAAATAACATGGTAGCATCTGAACAAACAACAAAACGCACGCGACATTATCCTTTGCACAGATTAAACCAAAGCAGAGATGTTTGGCCATAATGCACAGAGACACATTTGTTGAATCCCAAACACAGCATAGCAGCACAAGTACCTCATACCAGCTGTAAAGCACAGTCGTGGTGAGGTGATGATTTGGGCTTGGGTATGGACACTTTGAAGCCACTGAGTTGGCCATTTAACTCCTCTGTACACCAGAGTCAAATGTGAGGCAGTCTCTTTGGCACCTAAAGTCCAAACTGGGTTATGCAACAAGCAAGTCTACAACAGAAATGCTGAAAAAGACAAGAAATCTTATTCTTATTGAAATGCTGTGGTGAGACCTTAAAAGCACTGTAAACATACGAGTGCCTGTAAACCTCAATGAACCAAAGGGACTTTGTAAAGAAGAGTGGGTCAAAATTCCTCCACAACAATGTGAGAAACTGATAGTTATACAGAAATTGTGGTTCTACAAGCTAATCTGAATCATGGGGTGTACGATTTTTTTCACAGTACTCTGTGCAGGATTGCATTGAGTACTGTGAAAGCTGCCTTTGTTACATGACTGTAAAAGATGCAAGAGAGACCGTTTCCAAAAATGGTAACACTTAACTGTAACCTATTTTATTGGCAGTTTTGTTGGGTTTTTTGTATTTATGTTTATTTGTTTTAAAATGATTTTCATATTTTATGTGTTGGGTAACATCCCAATCCCAAATAAATTAAAAATTATATCTCAGCAAAAAACAACAACAAACAAACAAACACTTGTTCATTCATTCAAAACCAAGCACAAGAAAATCCAATAAATAATAATACAAAAAATTTGATTAGGAAATAAAAGTAATGTAGAGAACCGTTGAGTAAACTATGCTTCTGATTAGGTACACCACCTATACCAGGTTTATCTATATTAATGAAATAGCAGTTGTTGTTGTTGTTTTTGTTTTTCCACTGATATTATATGAGGTTTTTGTGGCTCCATGTTGTGGTGTTTTGCACCTGAGAGGATCCACAAATCTTTCTGCGGTTGTCTTTAGAAGGACATGTAAAAAACAATCTGCCAAATCAAACATGCAGAGCTGCCCACCGTCTCACCCCTTTGAGAATTAGGAAGCAACCGAAAAAAACTTTAAAGTCGTTCTGTTGTAAGATGTTTCTACACAAATAGTAAGTAAAGTAAAGATGTCGCCTGCCAGTTAGGACAAGCTGGGTTTTTACTTTTTTATGTCCTTGTTTCTCTACCCACCACAACCTTCAGCAAACTAACATAAAAGGGAGTGAAACTGTCTGTCTTCCCCCATAATACCCGTGTTTCATTTTTCTTAGCTGAGATGATGTGTTTTGCAAATTCTGCACTAAAGCACTGATACTAGAAGTAATGAAATTTATTTGAAATTATGTTTGAAGGTGAAATAAACACTGAAATTTGAATATTTTCACTTAGTACCTGTTGCCAACATGTGAAATCATGTGATTTCCAACAAGTCAGAAGACTTGCATTATGCAAACAAACATCTCTAAACCAACAATCACAGATTAGTCATTGTTGGTTGCAGTTCAGGCGAGCAGATAGTAAGAGCTGCTGGTTGCAGTGGACACTGGTTCAATGTCAGAGAAACCTTACTGACAAATACTCGTATCAGGACCGAATCTGGACACACAGAAATTCAAGAACTGTAAGTTATGTATTTGCTTGTATGTGTGTGTGTGTGTGTGTGTGTGTGTACGACTAACCCAACTCGAATATGTTCAGCTACTTCCTAAAATATGTAAACATATCTGACATGAACAGGAAAATGTGCATATGTGTCTTTTGATTTTTGGAAATCTAACGAGGCAGTGAAATCCTTGTAATTACAACAGTTTAAGAAACTTTGAATGCAGACTGATATCACTACTTCACAGACTGCGCCACATATTGATCTCTCCTCCGGCTTGGTGCCACATTAATTTTGAAATCCTCTCTCGTTTGCAGATGGGACAAAAGGCCACACTTTGCTTCCTCCTGCAGCTCATTTTTGAGGTAAATCTGAAGTAGTGCAGGACAATATCTTTACCAGTCCACAGAAACTTAAATGGCAGGTGTTTTGTCTCTTAAATTTGTAAAGGTTTCATTTGATGTCTTTCTTTCCTCCTGGTCAGCTGTCATCATGCACACAAATCAGGGTGATACCTGACTCTACGCTGGAGCTTCCCTGTCTCCCAGCAAATAATCACTTCATCGGAGTGGAAGAAATCACATGGAAATTCAATGGTTTTAAACGGCTTCTGTTTTCAGTGTGATGCAAATATTTGCTGCTTTTATGTACATATATGTATATAACACTTGGTCTTTTTTAAACTACAGGTGCCATCCTGTTTCAAAACTATCAGCCCGTCGCTTCGGACTTTTCCCTCCGCTTTCGCTCTGTCACTAAAACCAAAGAGGGCACGTACGAGTGTCTTTTAAAGGGGAGCGATATGGAAATAGTACGAAGGTTTGACGTCATAGTTGATGGTGAGACTCTTTCGTCATCATACGACCACTTTTAATTTTACAGTTAGTGGAGCAACGAACAATAAAGTGTTTGCTGTTTGTCTGCTTTTTGTTTCTTTTTGCAGAATTCACTGACTATCAAATGAAAGTATTTACAAAGTCAGATGTTAAACTCCCTTGCAATATCCCAAGTTCCAGAGAAGTCAGTGCCAATGCACTGTGGTTCAAAGAAAGTGCAAATGGAAGAATAAAGTTGAATCTTGACGATGACTCCGCAGATGATAATAAAAAAATAGAGCTGATTTTTCCACTAGACCACGATCAGAGCATCATGGTCATAAACGCTGGCATGGAGGATGCTGGTATTTATGAATGTGAACTGGATGATGGAAAAAAGCTGAGCTCTATAAACCTTACTGTGGAAGGTAGGGGGCTTGTCAAATTTAATAGAGATTTAATAGATTTAATGATTTCCACTGCACGTTGAGTCAGTAAGGGGGAAAAAAGGATCGATTAGTTGCATAAAACATTTTTATTTATGATTTGTTTCAGTTTTAGCTCCTCCTACAGCTCTTCCTCACACATGCCAAGGCTCCACCTCACCATGGGAGCCCTGCCCGGAGGAGAACAGCCGCTCAGCAGAACCCATACTGAAGGAGTCCATGACAGAGTTTTCAATGAAGCTGTATTATTATCTCAGAGAAATATATCCTTCTGGCAACATGCTCTTCTCTCCTGTCAGCATCGGTGGAGTGCTCTCCCATTTGTTGTTAGGTACGAAAAGAGAGGCGAGTCGCTATTTTAATGTAATCACGTTGCAAATGTTTAGCATTCATCATGTTCTCCAGTGAATCCTTTAAAGTTTTCCAGTTTCATGCATCACCATGTTAAATTTGAGATAAACCAACCAGATAAACCTGCAGGTAAAAAGTTAAGATACCTTTTTATGTTTCAGTTCGGCAGAATTTTAGAGGGTGAATTAATACAGTAATGAACAAAGCTAAAGAAATAACAGGTTACAGGTTGATATTAAGTTCCTCTTCCAAAAAAATTCTGTTTCTGAACTGGTCTGGCTTTCGTTAGGTATTATTGGTTAACGTCTTATGTGGTTA